CAGTTAAGGGTCCCGTTTAGCGGCGTTTTTGAGAAATGGGTGATTTCTTATCCAAGGACAGTTTTGCTCAGGCCGTTCGCGGCGCCTTCCGGCTGCTTTGTCTTTTCATACCTCGTGCATGCCTGTCACTCGCTTTCACCACAACACATGGGAAAGTAAAGTGCGATCCCACGCTGGTCTTTATGCTTTCCATCTTTATCAGAGGAATTCCTATGTTTTTACGTTAGCGATGCGACATGAGCATCTGGAAGTTCGTGCTTAGTGTAGGATAGAACCATGTATACGACTGCTTGTTCAGCCCCAGCGTGCTCCTGTTGCCATGGTCTATCTTCTGGTCTAAACCAAAATTACATCGAAACGATCTTAAGATTCATCACCATGTGATTTGCTCCAAGTACCCAGAATGGTCGCATTCGCTACAAGAGTATGTTGGACCTGCAGGACCTGATTGTTGAGGTTTACTGGCCCAGTAGCAACAACGCAATTTATGGATCTTGACCCCCTTTCCCCGACTTCTAACTGTAATGACAATAAGCCCCTTCGATTGACAGCGTCTCCGTGCATCCAACCAAGACCAAGGGATCGCGTGACTATCCCCAAAGCGCCTAGCAAAGTTCGGATATCTCGCATCGCGATTACGGTATGAGACCCAATTGGGTTGCATGAACCATGTTTGCTTCAAGCTTCGCACTGGATCACTTCACGCGCACAAAAGCCTTCACAGCAAGCGCCTCTCTCAGGGCAGTGCTGACTGAAACCTGCAAATGTCTCCTCGGAGAGGCAAGACAACAATACGACAGGTCTTGCAACAGAATCAACGTCAACACATTCCTCGGGCAACGCCGTCAGATCTCTTTACTCCCACACCATGGAGGCTCGCCAACATGCGGCCGAAGCGGCCGTCTTTGATCAATCCAATTTACTTCAGCGAAAGAAGCTCCTCGTTGTATTTTCGGCCCTTGCGATATCGCATTTCATCTGCTTCGTCGACCAAACTGGTATCGGAGTTGCCTTGCCCACGATAGGGCGGGATCTTAATGCTGAAGACACCATCAGTTGGGCTGGCACAAGCGCTCTGATAGCGAATACAATCTTTCAAGTGTTGTATGGGAGGATGAGCGACCTATTTGGTACGTCCACTAGCCTGTGTAAACCACCAGGAAATGACTTATAATGAATCTAGGTAGAAAATCCGTTCTTCTTTCCGCCCTCGCGCTTCTCACCGTCTCCGACCTTCTCTGTGGCCTCTCGCGCGATGCCACGATGTTGTACGTCTTCCGCGGTCTATCAGGTGTGGCAAATGGCGGTATAGCGTCCCTCTCAGCCATGATCGTCTCCGATATAGTGACCTTGAAAGAACGCGGGAAATGGCAAGGCTTGATAGGCGCATGCGTGGGACTTGGCAACATGACTGGACCTTTCATCGCCGCAGCTTTTGTGCAACATAGTACCTGGAGAGGCTTCTTCTGGTTCGTCGGCCCGATTTCGGCGGCTTGCGGGGTGTTGTGTCTTCTGGTGCTGCCTACACCTAAGGATCAACCGAGAGCGGATATGAAATTGGTTTTGAAAAGGATCGACTATGGAGGCATCCTCTTCGGAAGTGCAGGGTTGATACTGCTGCTCATTCCTATTGCAGGTGGCGGCGATTACTTTGCGTGGGCATCTCCAATGGTTGTCTCCATGCTGGCCATTGGAGGATGCTGCATCGCAGCTTTTGTCTACATCGAGCACAGCGTCGCCATACTGCCCATGATGCCACGTGAGTTTTACTTATCCCGCAACCGAACATACTCCAACTGTGGACCATCTCTGATTCGAATAGTATCTCTCTTCAAATCTGGCCCGGTTTCCATCATGCTTCTCCAAAATTTCCTCTTCGGAGTTGTAGCCTACTCGCAAACCTACTATCTACCTCTCTTTTTCCAAAACGCCCGCCTCCTCGCGCCTCTTATGTCAGCCTCCCTAATGCTGCCTATGACCGCCTCACAGATGGTTTCCTCCATCCTATCCGGTCAATACATATCCCGTAGAGAACGCTATGGCGAGGTAATCTGGCTAGGCTTCTTCCTTTGGACATTGGGCGTAGGGTTGACATGCATGTTCAATCTCTCCACGCCAATTTGGGCTATGGTTGTCATACTTGTCGTCCAGGGATTAGGGATTGGTGCCGTTTTTCAGCCCACATTGGTTGCAATACAAGCCCACTGTACTAAAGCCCAGCGTGCAGTCGTCATCTCGAACCGCAACTTCATTCGCAGTCTCGGCGGTGCTGTGGGTCTTGCAATCTCCGCTGCTGCATTGCAAAACTCTTTGCATAGTGCAATGCCAGCAGAATTCCGCTCATTATCGCTCTCTTCATACGACACAGCCGACTTCAACTCCCTGAGCCCACGGCAAATACTGCAGATTCTGCAGGCGTACGCAACAGCGAGTCGGACGGTCTTCATCGTGAATGTACCATTCATGGGATTATGTTTACTTGGGTGCTTCTTCATTGAAGATAGAGGTCTGCAGAGGCCAGATGAAGTTGGAGAAGATGTGCAATTAAAAGAGAGACATGATGGTGGAGGTGGAGAGGTTGAAGTGAGCGGCGACAGAAGAGACCATGGGAACAGGATCAAAGAAGACGTTGTTGTGTTGTCACGGTGACAAATCACCTTGAACACCTTTCAGCGTTAAATTCGAGCGCGAGCGACGTTATGGTCTTACATAAAACTTCGTTCGTCACATACCCCTCCAGCTACTTGCCCTCTCCCACGCGAACGCCGCTTCATAAACACCCACTTCATCCCACCATTTTCCAATAACCTGCATGCTAACCGGTAAAACGACTCCCTTTTCCACTCCAGGGCCTTCCGTGACTGGCAACATACCAATCGGCATCGCCAACACTGGATGCCCACTCTGATTGAACGGCGCCGTGTTGGAAGTCAAGCCGATCTGCTTTCCAATCTGTTCGAGTGGTGTTGCATCAAAGCTCGCATGACTCGTTGCTACATACGGTAGTGTAGGTGTCAACAGTATATCGTACTGTGCCAGAGCCGCGTCGTAAGCATCACGAAGCTGTCTTGATAGATTCGTCGCTTTCGCGAGGAGGTTGGGGAATTTTTGTGTAGCGTACAGACCGTTGAGGTAGATGTTCTTCGTAGATGCATATGCTTCGTTCCAGTTGTCCTGGCCCATGGGATGCAGCAATGAGTTCAGCTCGAGCATCTGGTGTCCGCGACGCCCGAACGAGCCTGTGGTTTTCCCGAGAAATCCACCGATTTTCGATATGCCATTCCATATCGCTGCTCCTTTTGAGTGCAGCGGTATCGAGATCTCGGTGACTGTGGCACCAAGGTCTTCGTACTTGGTGACTGCGGTGCGAAAGATTTGGACCACTCGTGGATCCAAGGCTGGTGTAGAGAGCGACTCAGTAATTATAGCGAATTGCTTGCCTTCCAAGGGTCTGTGCATTGGAGTATTCCTGATGGAACTGTAAATAGGTATCTTGGATGGGTGAGGTGCAGCGAAAGAACGATCGTCAATATTGTCCGTTCCGGCAATAGCTTCGAGAAGTACAGCGTTTTCCAATACTGTCCGTGTCATTGGACCAATGTGATCGTTAGTAGGCTCGTTACTTCCACATCCGGTGTATGGCACAAGGCCAAAGGTAGGCTTTAGGCCAACAATACCACAGTTGGCGGCTGGCACACGGATACTACCACCCTGATCTGCGCCAATTGACCCATCGACCTCGCCCAATGCCACAAGAACAGCTGAGCCGCTCGAGCTTCCTCCAGCGCTATAGCCTTTTGCGAATGGATTTTCCACCACTCCAGTACTCGAAGAGTGGCTTGTTGCAGAATGGCACAAGTTCTCACAGACTGCTTTTCCGAGGATTTCACCGCCAGCTGCTAGGATTCGTGTAGTGACAGCTGCATCAACATTCGGAACATAGCCTTTGACGAAGTTCGTACCCAGTAGCATTGGTACGCCCTTGACGGCAATGTTGTCCTTCAAAGCGAACGTTTTGCCGTAAAGTTTACCGTCGCTCTTAGCTTCCTTGTCAACGATTCTGCACTTCCACGCCCATGCACCATGAGAACTCTCAGATGCTTGCGGGAAATGAACATCTTCTCTGGCAAAGCGTTCCTCATCGACTGGGGGGACATAGTCTATACATCAATGTCAGCTTCCGTCATGACTCGCGACGTGAACCACTATGTCCTACCGTCCATAGCCATTAGTCGTTCACTTGCATCGTGAAATGCGGCAAGTAAGCGTCGATAGTCCTGTTTCTCTTTCTCATCGATGCTGACCCCAAGCTGAGAGCATAGCGCCTCGAGAGTTTCTGTCGTGACAGGGTTGTCATGGCTGGTATCTAGCGAGAAAACCGACATCTCTGGTGAAACCGCAACGCTTTCAAGTAATTAGATCGCGATCGTTTGCCGATGCTACATGTTCGTCATACACTGAATTGCCAGGGGCACTCAGTTATTCATACTGGCAGGCCTGGTGCAGACCCCCAGCGGCACTTGTTGATCTGCCATGACTTTAACACCTTGTGACAAATGTTCATTCGTAGCCTACCAGCCACTGATACGTACTTGCCGATATGTTCAGCCGTCTGAATGCTTGCAAGATTGTGTAGTGGAAGCCTCGAAGGAGAGATAACAGTAAAGCGGGGCAGGCGGAACGCTTATTCCCGAGGTCGATCGTCGGGAGAGTCACTTCCGATCAGCAAACAACGAACAGCGCGCCTTGTACCTGATAACTTTTCTGTGTTGTGATTGGTAAGAAACTGCTGATAAGAAATTGACAGGTGAAAAGGAACGGACTTGACGTGCAGTCAAAAGATTGTTGAGTCGTTCCTGGCTGACTCAACTGTGGATAGCCTTGCGACTTGTACGTATTGACACCGCTCTAAAATCCTACGCAGGTAGCATGCGTTGAATCTACGTTTACTCTTCCTCTTGTATTGTGTTCGTGACCGTGATATCGAATATCTGTCTGTCATGGTTCACGTCGAAGAGTCTCTTCAACTCCCCAGAGACTTTGAAGGTGCGCTACCACACAATCTGCAGTTCTCCTCATACTGATCACTATTATAGGTTTTGGCGAAGATGGTCATGACGCACAATGGCCAAACGGCGCCCGCATAGCAGTTTCCTTTGTACTTAACTATGAAGAAGGTGGCGAGAGAAACCCCATGGATGGCGATGGCATTAGCGAACCCTACCTGTGGGAGAAAGGCCCTTCGGGCGGTGGCAGGGAACAGCGCCATTTGAACGGCGAGGTAAGTTCTGGCTGTACGAACTGCATTTGAGACATACACTGACTTCGTACGTCACCTCTGCAGCAAGATTACGAATATGGTAGCAGGTGCGGCGCTTGGCGGATACTACGCCTTATGAAGGAGTTCGGCTGGAACATGACCCTGTGGGCCATTGCAGTGGCCATGGAGAGAAATCCTACGTTTGCAAAAGCTTGCGTAAGAGACGGCCATGAAATTGGGGCTCATGGGTATAGATGGCTAGACATATGGGACTATTCACTTGAAGACGATAAGGCGTATATTAAGAAGACATGCAAAGCCTTGGAAGCGGCAACTGGTACGTCCTACCCGATGCCAAACATCTTGTTCAATACTGACGCGCATACAGGCGAATTTCCGGTAGGAGCATACTTCGGCAGAGGCACGCCAAATACAGCCAGCCTGCTCCCAATCATGTGGAAAGAGATGGGTCACAAAATGCTCTACACATCGGAAGTCTATAATGAAGACTCGCCATATTGGATCGATCTTCCCTGGGAGAAGCAACTGCCTGAATCGGAGAAAGAGGGCCTGTTGATGATGCCGTACAACTACGATTGTAAGCCGCATCTCTACATGACAACATGTCCGATTTAATCTAGTAACATGATTTAGGCAACGACGGAAAGTTTCACATGCTCCCTGGTTTCGTAAGCTCAGCAGGTGCAGTGTACGAGCAGTATCTCAAGGATACGTTTGACTGCTTATACAGAGAAGGCGGTAAGATGATGACCATCCCTTTGCATTCTAGAATAGCTGGTAAGCCAGGAAGGTCGGAGAGTCTGAGAAACTTCATGAACTATATTTCAAGGAAGGAACATGTGTGGGTTGCGACACGCAGGGACATTGCGAAACACTATCGCGAGACTTTTCCTTATAAGTCTGGGTCGAAGACTGGTTGTTCATAGATCTCTTCGTACCTATGGATCTGGATCGAAATGATTATTTGGCCACGCGGATCATGGGCTAGAAGGTATAACAGCCCTCCAAACGTACCCAGATCATGCATTTGGGTGCGCCGATTTCTTACTACACGTGCCACCTGGGCAACCTGGCAAATTAGTCGTGGAGACGCCGCATGGTCTTAAAGGACACATGCAGTCGCTAGAATCGAAATCCCAGATGCAGAGAACCTGTCGCATTCGCTGGATATGCCCGTGCCCGTGAAAACCTGTTGAGTCTTTACTCAGGTACACTATCACCTTTTTGGACAGGTCAACGCACTAGCCTCATTCTTGATCTTTTTGCCCGTCGGCTTCTTTCCTCCCGACGCGTTATCGTCTTATCATCGAAGATCTGCCGTTTTCCCAGCATTGCGAAACCTTGCATAGATAGATGGCTGATAGGAATATTTGTCTGCCGCAATGACGAGATGCGCAATTTGTAGAGGCGATCAAGATGTTTATAGCCTGGCAATCACCTCCCGCCGAACAACCGAGGCTCGAATTGGTATTTGCTCAGGCGTGAGTATTCCTGCGCGGTCATGTCTCGCCTTCTGCAACAAGGCAAGGATGTTTTGAGTTCTCCAAAAACCCTCAAAGTCATAGCGCAAGATACCAGCGATCAAGGCGAAGTACGTTATAACAAAGACCTCCTTCCCAGTCCTCCTGGTAAGCCTTGAAATGCATCTTTCAGCATCTCCAAAAGTTAACACAATGCAGAAGATCGGAGATGGCGCTGGCAACATTACTTCGCATACTATCTGACCATGACATTCAGCCCATCCTCGTACAACCTCGGCGCATCTCTTGTCTCAATCGGTTTACTCTGGTGGCACGGCATGATTGCTGCTATCATCGGCTCCGCCATTCTCACCGTTCTGGTTGTGCTCAATAGTCGCGGCGCTGTCAAGTACTTTCTTGGCTTCCCTGTGTATGTCCGCGCAGCTGCTGGCGTCAGGGGAGCGAGTTTGTACATCGTCGTACGAGCTGTGGTTGCAATCATTTATTTTGCGACGCAGACCTACTATGGAGGCCGTATCACGTCGGTGTTCATGCGGGGTATATTTGGAAATGGTTACAATGATATACCGAACCGCCTCCCAGAGAGTGCGGGGATCACGAGTAGAGATTTGCTGAGCTTCTTCTTGTTTTGGATGGTAGGTACTGTCCACCTTTCTCTCGTTCAAGTCCAAGGCCGACTGAGTATGCTAAAATTAATAGGTTAGTGATATCCATGTACGAACTGTATGTGAGACAAATACTGACTTCGTAAACTCATCTTTAGGCGCAACTACCAGTCATGTTCATTCATCCCACGGTACTTCGACACCTCTTTGTTGTCAAAGCTGTCTATACAACGATTGCACTCTTCGGGGTGCTCGCTTGGGTAATCAGTGCCAATGGGGGCAAAATTGGAAGTTTTACGTACACGACCAAGCAGACTCAGCTCTCGGGCTCAGCTCTGATCTGGCCCATGATACAAGCCATCAATTCCGTTATGGGCGCTCTGGCGCCAGTGCTTATCAATCAGCCTGATATAGCGCGATACGGACATTCCTACGGCGATGTGACATGGAGCCAGGGCTTCGGTATTCTTACCAGTAAAGTACTGGTCATGTTCCTGAGTACCGCAACGACTGCAGCCGCTACACAAGTCCTCGGCCAAAGCTATTGGAACGTATGGGATCTCTACGACGCCATCTTGGATCAATATTGGACTGCTGGAGCTAGAGCAGGGATAGTATTTGCGTCTTTCGGTATGATGCTCGCTGTACTTGTCACCAATGCAGGAAGCAACTCGCTTCCCGTTGGTGCCGATCTTACAGGAATCTTCCCTCGATGGTTGACCATTGTGCGGGGCCAGGTACTCTGCGCGATTCTGGCACCCTTACTTGCTCCATGGAAGATTATCGCCTCGGCGACTGCGTTCTTGACATTCCTCGGAAGTTACACTGTATTTCTGATGCCGATCTGCGCGTGCATGATTGTCGACTACTGGCTCGTTCGAAAGGGTAACTTGCATGTTCCTTCATTGTACACGACTGCATCCGAAAGCCCGTACTCGTACTGCAAAGGCTGGAATATGCGCATGCTGGCTGCGTGGACAGCTGGGGTTGCCTTCACGGTCCATGGCGTCGCAGGGTCTTTGGATGCTGATTCTGTCGCCGAGGCTAGCAAGAATATGTACAAGCTTGGCTTTCTACTATCTCTGTTCATGGGCGGCTTGGTTTATTACAGCTTGTGCCTCATCTGGCCGGTGAAAATGGTGCCTCGAGGGGCAGGGGGAGAGCTGGGGTTTGAAGCGTTGGCAGCGAACGAAGGTTTCTTCGACGACGAGAATGTAGGAACTATCACGGGCGTACGGGAAGGCGAAGAAGTGCATGAGACGCAGCACGGCGCTGCGGATAGCAAAGGGTTTGTCTGTTAATTCCATGACATAGCTGTGAGTAAGCAAGTGTAACGTGACGTGGCGGGGCGTCGTGCATGCAGCCGGAGGTGTGGCTGGTCGACAAGCTTGGACCACGCGCAACGTCACTGCCACTGCCGGGAGAGCGTGGGAGCTTCACCATGTCCAAGGCAAACATCTCAACGTCGACGCTTGGTGCTGCCTGACTCTGCTCGTTGTACCAACAGGCGCTACCATTGTTCCGCCCAGTGAGCGCGACGACTACACCACCACCACCACCGCCGACATGTGGGACGACGAGGACAACAATCCGTATGGATCCTTTGCCCGCCATGACTCCAACACGTCGGATATTCCTGGGCTAGCGTCGCCCGCTGCCCGTAAGGCTTCTACCTACTGTCTGAAGCAACCGCCAGCATCACTAGCTGACATGACCAAGTGCCGTACCGCCCCGCGACGCCGCCCTCGGAGGCGTCGTCGCCCGCACAAGAATCGCCCGAGTATGTCTCTCAGCGCGACATGAGCGACGTCGACTACAACGAGCAGGACCAAGACCACGCAGACCCAAAGGCGCCTAAGAAGGGCGGGTACGATGCGCGCGTGGAACAATGGCTGTACGAGCACCCCGAGCAACTCGTCTTGATCACGAGCGCGGGCAAGGACGGTGTGAACTACATCCAGTACACCATCAACTGCGGTGTATGTTAGCCAGGCTGCTGGGGAGCCGCGCAGCTGACACATGGACAGGGCCTCGAAGTCAAGCGCCGATACTCTGAATTTGCATCCCTGCGCGCCGAACTGGTCAGACTTCACCCCACGCTCATCGTACCTCCCATCCCCGAGAAGCATACCATGGCCGACTACGCCGCCAAGCCGACAAAGGCGAAGGAGGATGCCGGCATAATAGAGCTGCGGAAGCGCATGCTGGCTGTCTTCCTTAACAGGTGTAGGAAGATGCAGGATATACTACAAGATGGCGTCTTCTGGCGGTTCCTCGATCCCTACACAAGTTGGGTAGGCTTCGTTCTCTTGTAGATACCAACCCCTTCAACTGACTTGCTCCTGTAGGCAGACGTACTCAACAGCCCGCCTGTTTCCAATATCCCCAAACAGATCCTCAAAGCACCTCCACTCGATGCCGCGAACCCTTCCCAAGCCCACAGCTACCTTCCAGTCCCCTCGTCTTCCGCCAAATTGAAGTCGGGCGGTACCATATCTAGCTCGGGTACTCCTGTCTCACCAGCCAACAACGCAGCCCTACCTTCAGCAGCCGCGCATACGACACCGGGTCCTGCCATTTTCGGTCGTTTCCCTCCTGAGACGCGCAATATGTCGGAAGAGGAGTTGGATCCATACTTTGTTAGCTTCGAGAACTCGTCCAAAGACCTAGAACACCTGCTGCAAGGACCAATGGAGAAGGTCAACAGACGACTGCTCATGCACCTGGGCAATTGGGGAGAGGACATGGCAGATCTTGGCGCTCGATTCAATGCCTTTTCGCTATCTGAACAGACGCAGTCTCTCGCTGCAGCCATTGAAAAGACGGGACAAGCTGTCGACTCTACGTACATTGCGACGACCGAACTCTCTTCGTCTCTCAGCGCAGGCTTCTCGGAGCCTATGCGTGAGAGCGCGCAATTTGCCGGCATCGTACGTTCTACCTTGAGATATCGAGTGCTCAAGCGGATACAGGAGGACATGACAAAGGACGAACTTGAGAAGAAGCGCAATCTACTCGAATCCCTCGAACGCAGTGAAGCAGAGTCGAAACGATTAGAACAACATCTGAGTGGCGTCGGCCATCAACCTGCCCGAAGTCGCGCTGCATCCAACAGCTCACACCGAAGCATCGGCGAGGCGGAGCAACCACGTAGATCGGACGAGGATAGGGCGTCGATTGATTCCGACTTCCCACCTACACATGGCGACACACCATCCAGCGCACAGGGCGCACCTGATAATCAGTCACCGCCTAGTAGCCCGCACAAGAAGACTGCAAGTGGAAATTTCGTCACCAACAAGCTGTTTGGGTCCATTACACATGCTTTCAGGGGTATGGCAGACGTAGATCCTGAAAAGACTCGAAGAGATCAGATCGGCAAGACACGGGATAGTATGGTACAGGTAGGCTTAATATGTCATTTGTGAAGACACTTGGAGATACTGACCATTACGCAGCTCGAACAAGCGCTGACTGTGGCCGAGAAAGACACCAAAGACGCAAGTGCGGGTGTGATGAAGGACCTGCGACGATTCCAGAGTGAAAAAGAGGACGATTTACGGCGTTACATGGTATGTCTCGGTCTTTACCTAGTGCTCTTGAAAGCCGCTAAGAACAACTGCAGATGGAGTTCGCTCAATGCCATATCGATTGGGCGAAACGAAACAAGGCGGCTTGGGAAGAAGCTAAAGCCGAAGTTGAGAATATTGCGCCACAGCCCTCAGAAGAATACCCCAGGAGATCTGAGGACTTTGAAGCCCGAGAGCAGTGATGGCGCGTGCCATGTCTGTCTGTGTACACCTGGCGATGCATCCTTTGAGCGATTGCGCACCTGTATTAAATATGGCGAGTAGTAATTCAAAGTATAATAACAGTCGTTTGCTTTACCATGTACAACTAAT